CCAACGGAGACGCGCCTCCCGGTGGGGACCTGCGTCGGTTCCTTCCCGGGCGGGCAGTGAGCCACACCGGATACCTCCCGGCCGGCGTTTGTAGATGGGAGGGGAGATAAAAGGCCCGAGGGATGGTGGCCATAAAGTCAATGTACGCAGGCTTGCATTCTTTCATTCATTCAACAGTTTTTGCGCACTTGCTCCCGCCAGACGTGAAGCTTACAGAAGTGAGCGAGACAGTCGCGGGAGCTGCTGTCCTGGAACTTACAGCGTAGGAGGAAACAGGAACATGTTCAGGTTGTAAAGGACAATCTATTTCAAAACACTTGAAAGCAGATTTCTTTATCTCTTCTTTGGAGGGACATTTGGGTTGTTTCTAGTTTTTATCTCTTGTGAATAAAGCTCCTATAACGTTCCTGTGTCCGTCTGTGTAGATACATGTTTTCATTTCTCTTGGGTAAATAGCTAGGAGGGGAGTTGCTGGGTCATCGGGTAACTGTGCTTTAACCTTGTGAGAAACTGCCAAGCTGTTTTCCAAAACAGTTGTCTCATCTGACATTTTCAGTTGCTCCTCACATGGCCAACATTTGATGCTGCCAATCTTTGCAGGGCTAGCCACCCTAATATGTAAAGTCATACATCACTGTAGTTTTATTTGTATTTCTCTGATTATCGATGATGTTGACCATATGTCATGTGCTTACTGGCCATTTGTAGATCTTTTGTAGTGTTAAGTCTTCACTAAGTTTGTTTTTTTTTAATCACGGTGTCTTATTATTGAATTGTAGGAGTTCTAGATATATATTTGGATACAAATCCTCTATCAGATATATGTATAGCAAATATTTTCCTCTAAAATGTGGCTCGTCCTTTTAAAATAATAGTGCCTTTTAAGGTTGTGGGTTCCATTCCCCGTCTGGGCACATACAAGAATCAACCAATGAATACATAAATAAGTTGGACAACAAATCAATGTTTTTCTCCCTTCCGCTCCCCCCCCAAAAAATCAATAAATAAATTTTAAAATTTTTAAATAAAATAATGGTGCCTTTTAAAGAGCAGAAGTTTTTTATTTTGATTAATTGGTGGTATATAGGCTATATTATTTAGCAATAAAAGTGCATAAAATATAAAATAGTGCAGTCACCTTGGAAAAGTTCCTCAAACTGTTAAGCATAGAGTTATCATATGGCCCAGCAATGCCACTCCTAGATATATACCATAGAGAACTGAAAACATGTCCACACAAAAACTTGTATATGAATGTACATGGTAATATTACTCAAATAACCCAAAACTAGAAACAACCCAAATGTCCATCAACTAATCAATAGATACACAAAATGTGGTTTAATCTCTACAGTAGGATATTATTCAGCCATAAAAAAGAACGGTGTCCTGATACGCTACAACATGGATGAATCTTGAAAACATGTTAAGTGAAATAAACCAGACACAAAAGAACCACATTTTGTATGACTCTTTTGTATGAAATGTCCAGAAGGATAAATCCATAGTGATAGAAAGTAGATTAGTGGTTGCCAGTAGCTGGGGAGAAGGACAGGGGAATGACTGCTAATGGGTACAGACTTTCTTTTGAGGGTAATGTTTTAAAATTGTTATAAAATTGGTTGTGATGGTTGCCCAGCTCTGTGACTACACTAAAAACCACTGAATTGTACACTTTAAAAGGGTGTTTTTTATTTAATAAAGTTTTATTTTTCAAAATGTACAGCTGGTGGGACCTGTTGTTCATGCATTTTCGACAGCAGCTGGGGCGTCCCCACCCTTGGTGTTTCTGGTACATGACTTGAGCTCTGTGCTTTGAAACTAATTTAATAAGTCCTTACTAAGGAGCTCCTAGAGCTGTCCTGACAACAGTCAAGGTTATAAGCTTATAGTTGGAAACTTCCTTACAGAGTTTGTCATAGGTTGCTTTGTCAAATGAAGCTGGGCTATTGAGCTTGTCCCCAACTTTTGCTTTGGGTCACTTCTTTTTGGCCTCGCCCCCAGATTTGTTCACTGGGTCTTTGTCTTTCTTGGCCAACTTTCTGGCATTTTTCTTCTTCTTGTCCTCTTTGGCAGCACAGGGAAGCTCAAAGAGCAGCTGCTACCACTGCAGCCTTGCTAAATGTTGGACAGAAGGTTAAAAAGGGTGAATTTTATGATGTGTGAATTCTCTCTTAATAAAGTTGATACCAAAAAAAAACACACACACACAAAACTGCTAATGCATGCAACATGAGCGAATTTCAAAACCATGATGCTGAAAGAAGTCAGACACAAAAGAGTAATACTATATGCTGCCATTTATATAAAGTTCTGAACAGGCAAAACCAATCTACAGTGGTGGAAATCAGATCAGTAGTTGCCTGTGGCAGGGGGTGGGGAAAAGATTGACTGTGAAAGGACATGTAAGGGAACTCTGTGATGCAATGTCCTGTATCTTGATTGGGGTGGTGATTACATGGGTGTCTATACTTGTCAAAACCCATAGAACTGTACACTAGGATGTGTGTATTAAATTATGTGTACATTTTTACTTCAATAAATAAAGTTAATTTAAAAACAGAAAACAGATTTCTGTCTCAGTCAGGCAATATAGTCAGCAGTGCTTCCCAACCCTTCTCACCCACATCATAAGGGAATACTCTAGTGCAGCTTTACTAAAGGGCATTTGGAGTCCTTGTCTAGGGTGGACCTGAGGCTCCCAGCCCAGGCTCTGGGCACCTTCCCTGCCTGGCTGAGGGCCTCAAAGCCTGCCAGGGACATGCTTGGGAAGCTCAGTGTGGTGACAAGCAAAGTGGACTCTGGAGTCAGACTGATGGGAGTGGGGGTGAGTTCCTGCCCTGCTGAGAACTGCCTGTGTGCCTTGGGCAAGTTACCGAGTCTCAGTGCCTCTGATTCCTCGCCTCTAAAATCAGATAGTAATAACACTTGCCTCAAAGGAACACTGACATGATAAAGATAACATGTGCGAGTCCGTAGAATCTACCTGGCACAGCATAATTGATCAATTACAACTCATTATCTTCATAAAAGGGGACAAGAGCTACTGTATCATTTAATGAGAACATAATATTTCCCTGACTGATAAAGTTTCCTGTTCTAAATAAAATAAAATTAAAATTAAAAAAGGACTATTCTTTAAAACTTTACATCTTGGGAATTCTCACTTGAAAATACAAATGAGTCCCCAGCAGTGTACCGGCTGGCACCAAGATGTCCAGCATGGCTGTAGTGAATTTTCACTGCACCTGTATGTCCCAGCCCCTCTGCGTGTCTCTGCCATGCCACCCGTCTCAGTCTCCTGCTTCTCCACAAGGTTCAAGAGAGCCCCCAAATTAAGAGGGCACAAAAGGACAGGTGTTTGAGTGGGGTATCCCTCCACCCTCTTCTCCCCCTTCCATCTCCTGGCGCCTCTAATCACCAGGCGGTCTGAGGCTAAGTGGTAGTTTTGCCCACAGTGGGGCTTGGAAACCACACCCCTTCTCCTGGGGCCCTCCTGGCCATTCCCAACACCCTGGTCTCCTCCACTGTTGAGATGGGTCTCAAGGGGGCATGGTGTTTCCCATGGTGTGTGTGCCGGAGACAGCGGGGGACTGAAAGAGGAGCAGGTATGGGGAAAAAGGGTGGGCATCAGGAAGCTATAAACTGCACTGGGAGAAAGTGAATGCTTAACCCAGTGAAGGGAAAAGATAGTCTGTTTTCCCTGGATGGGAGGTGGGTCTATGACTTCCCCACAGAGCTGACTAAATACTTTGTAGGGCCCAATGCAAAATGCAGAAGTGGGACCCTATATTAAAAAATGATTAAGAATTTCAAGATGACGAGAGTAGAGCAGTACACCCAGCACGGGGCCCTTCTGAGTGTGGGGTCCTTTGCAACTGCACAGGCCTGCTCTCTCAATGACTCCTCTCCCTCTCTCTGCTGATGCCACCAACATTCACCCAGGACCCTCAGATGTCTTCCCTGGCCTTTTTCATCCTCACTGAGGGTGGTGGTGTGGGGGTAAAAGGGATCCAGACTCACAATTCCCTTCTTCTTTCAATCTCCCTTTTAGGTCTGGATCCAGCTGCCCCTCCAGATCCAGATCCCAGCCCAGTGATAGCCCCCATCATGACTGAGGGAGGGATGCCCTCCCTAGGGTCTAGTGCCTACTTCAGCAGGAAAGCCCGGCTCTCCTTCCGCCACCAGCTGCATGACATAGCATCAGCCAATGACTCTACCATTTGAAGGGGACAACCAGGGGCTGAACTTCTAGGAAGCCTTGGCAACCTTCCTTCCCCCCACTTCTCAGTGATTCCAGTTTCTGGTTCCCCCAAGTCCCTTGTGATCTTCTCATTAAATATATTCTCTACCATTTGAAGGGAACAACCAGGGACTGAACTTCTAGGAAGCCTTGGCAACCTTCCTTCCCCCCGCTTCTCAGTGATTCATTTCTGGCTCCCCCAAGTCCCTCATGATCTTCTCATTAAATATATTTAGAGTTGCCAAATGTTCTGTGTATGTGCATGTATGTTGAGATGGAAGAGTAGATGGGGAGTAGACTTGGTTAGGGGGCTGAGGTGGGAAGTGCAGAATTGGGTGGGAGTGGGGAACATAGGAGTGGTCAATATGATGTAGCTGATCTAATGAAGAGCCCCGCTGTGGCTAGCTGGAAGTTTGCTGAAATCAAACTGCAAGACTTGAGTGTGGTGAGAGCAGTTTGGAGAGGCTGGGGGCTAGGCAGGACAGCAGATAGGGCTGTCATGTTTATTCAGTGTCCACTCTCTACTAGGCACTGAGGATATATCAGTGAACAAGCAGAAAGAATTCTCTCTTCTCACTGATCTTACTTCCTAATAGAGGAGGTAGACAATAAGTAAACAAGGAAACATGATAATATGAGATAACAATAACTGCTGCTATGAAGAAAATTAAACAGGGTAATATGGAAGAGGTGGTGGTGGGGGGACTGTTTCTTAAATTTCAGGTGGTTAGGGAAGGCCTTTCTGATAAGGTGCCATTCAGAGCTGAGACCTGAATGATGTGTCAATGTAGGCTCATCAACTGTAAAAAGTGCACCACTCAGTGCAGGATGCTGATAGTGGGAGATGCTATGCATATGTGGGGGGTAGGAAGGTTATGGGAAATCTCTGTATCTTCTGGTCAATTTTGTTGTGGACCTAAAACTGCTCTAAAAAATAATTTTTTAAAAAATCAGCAGAGCTGCCGAAACCGGTTTGGCTCAGTGGATAGAGCGTCGGCCTGCGGACTGAAAGGTCCCAGGTTCGATTCCGGTCAAGGGCATGTACCTGGGTTGCGGGCACATCTCCAGTAGATGTGCAGGAGGCAGCTGATCGATGTTTCTCTCTCATCGATGTTTCTAACTCTCTATCTCTCTCCCTTCCCCTCTGTAAAAAATCAATAAAATATATATTTTTAAAAAATCAGCAGAGTAGTCTCAGGCAAAAAAAACACAGTAACTATTAAGTGCAAAACCTCTTAGGTTCTAGGGAAAAAAGCCAGTGACTGGAGTGGCAAGATTGAGGGGAACTGCTGAGTCTTCTAGGCCATGGTAAGGGATTAAAATAGCATTCTAGATGGAATGGTAAGCCACTGAAGAATTGTGAGCAGGGAAACAACATGATTTCACTTACAATGAAAGATTACTTTAGTTGCTGTACCTGGAAAAGATTGGAGAAGATCAAGTATGAAAGCCGTAAGGCCATGTAGGGGAGGGTGTTGCCATCCTCCAGGCAAGAGATGAAGATGGCTTGGCCCAAGGCAGCGCAGTGAGAGGCAGACGGATTCTAGATGTACTTTTGGAGAGTTTTAGGACTTACTGTTAGACTGAATGTGGAGTACTCAGGAAAGGGAGGAATCAAAGATGCCCTAAGGCAGGGAGGACCAGAACAGGTTTTGCAGGAAAATCAGAAGTTCTCTATTGGTTACTTTAAGTTTGAAGTACACGTTTGAGGACAGAGATCCTTTTCAGTTCTTTTTCACTTAATCAGATACTATCCCTCTACAGGGCAGGATTATATTCTAGAGCAAAGTTTTCAAATGTAGCTTATTCAGTTCCCTGGCCCATAGTGGGGAGAAAAGAAGATTGGGACAGGATTAAGAATGTTGGTCACTGTCAATGAACACCACTTTGCTCACTTAGGGCCCTGGCTTGAGTGGAGACAGCCCCATGGAGGGGCCAGAATCCACTCTCTGCCTCCCATCAAAGGGGCTGAAGGCCGACATATCACTACACTCCCCATGGGAACGGTGGCTTCCAGAACTGGCCCACCGCACTCTCTGTGGCTGCCCTCTCCCACCCAATGTCCATCTGAAGCTCCAATTGCAAACACCTTTCTCCCAAAAGCCAAGGAAGTCACACTGCTGCTCCTGACAAGATGAGGTGACAGAGGTGATTTAGGAGAGAGGAGACCATGAGCCTGAGTCAGAAGAGATCTGGAGTCCTTCTGGCTTTAGAGCCAGTAGCCTCCCGTGATGACAGGCAGGAGGCAGGCTAAGGGGAGGAGACCTTAGTCTCAGTCAGAATACTGAGTTCTACCTCGGGCTTGAACAGGGGTGGGGATAGGATCATTTGTTGGTAGTTCCGCATAAACTACAGTCTGGTGTCACAAGGAGCTGGATCTAGTAGAGGAAAGGAAATGTGGGGGAAGGTGGCCTGAAGAGTTTGAAAACCACCCCTGTAAAGGCTCCTCTCCAATGCCCCCAGAGCTCAGAGCAGTGGTCTGTACAAACTGTAGTGGACCAGACAAGTTTGGGCTTGAAGTAAAAAAAAAAGAACTCCAAAGCACACAGACTCTTTTTGACAAACTGTTTATTGAATTTTGGGTCAGTATGGGATGTCTCTTACTGTACCCTAGAATCCCAGAGTTCAGGGAGGCGGTAAAGTGGCAATGGAGAATTTGGGGATCTGGTCTCCCAAGAGTACCTGCCGCTCTACCCCTGATTCTGATATGGATGCCAGACGGATCACCCCTCCACTGGAGCCATCCCTCTCCATGGCCAAAGCGAGAGCTGTGGATAAAAAAAAGTTGGGGGTCAGAGTTGGCTGCTGGCATCACTGCAAGGAATGATGAAAATTGGACTGGCGTGGGTATGGGGGTTGAAGCTCACAGGCCCAGAAACCCGTTCTCACCGTTAGCAGTGAATTGTAGACACTCTTCCTTGGTCATACCTTCCCGGTAGGTAGCATCGACATAGCCATAAATATAGGAGCTTCCGGAGCCTCCAATGGCAAAGGACTGTCTTACCATCATCCCCCCCATGGGCACCGAGTACACCTGCCAAGTGGAGGGAGGAAAAGAGTCATCAGTTGTACCCTCCTCACAACACATGTACATTCACCTGTCCACTGTGGGACTGATCTGGGAAGAGTTAATAGTGAGGTAGAGGCTGCAAACAGAAAACGGCTGGGGCGGGGAGAAGATCAAAGGCATGGCCCCAAGACTCCAGGGGCGGGAAGCATCTGACCTGCCCTCCTTCTTGGGAGTCCCAGCCTGCAACGATGATTCCTGCCATCAGGTCTTCGCGGTATCGGTAACACATCTCCTTGAAGAGGCTGGCTGCAGTGTGGACCAGAGGCGGCTCGTTCAGCTCAATGCTAGAAGACGAGGGGAGTCACAGGGAAGGCATCATCAGCACCTAGAAGTCAGACCATCCCAGCTCCCTTCACATACTTGTTTCTTCCCAGCCCACAAGCACCTGTGGAAACCAAGCTGATAGGTAACAGCATCAGCTACAGCCTGGGTATCAGCTGCAGAGCCTGAGCGGCAGCAGAAGATACGATCGTGAATAGGGGTTAGCTTGTCAGTCACCCGGTTGGCGATGTAGGACCTGCAGAATGACAGGATAGTGAGGGAAAGGACCCCACTTGTCTCCCACCTCCATCCCATTATTATCTACTCCCTCTGGCCTCGGGAA